TTTTCTTTTTGCTTGAGTTATTTTTCTTTTTAATTAAACCCCCTAATCAAAAAAATCTAGTTGTCTTTTAATTTATTTTTTATTTTAATTTTCAATCCTTTTCTTTTAATTAAATTTTTGTTATTTCAATTTTTTTTGTGTAGTTAGTTTTTTCCCTTGATATGTTCTTTTGTGTTTGTTGACTTTTTTTTCAAAATATAATAATATTTTTTGGAAAAAAAAAATCTGATTAACATCATTATCTTTTCTTTATTGTCTAATTAAAACAAAACCAACTCATTAATCTTATCTTGTATTATAACTCAAATAACTAATTTTAATCTTATCTTGTATTATAACTCAAATAACTAATTTCTCCTATTTATTTAAAATACGTTTGATCACCTTGACATCATTTTGACAAACAAAATACGTACCGTTTACATCATTCCATATTATTTTTTCATAAAAAAATACGAACCCGCAACCTAGGAGTAGCCATGCCTAGTCATAGCTATCTATTATCATATGAAACCGTCAAAAGGATTTTAATATTAATATTACACAACTGTTCTGTGACTTTTTTTTTTGGAATGAGTCACCAAGTGAGGTAGCTATATGGATTTCTTTGTCTCTGCATGCTTATAATTCTGCAACCTCCATGTAGACTCTAGATCAAACAGCCATGAAAGACGAGGAAGACAGGAGTATTTTTTATACAGAGATAGGCCCATACATAGGCTCACCTAATTTGGCATGGCGTTTTTCATGCAATCATTCAGCTAGAGGCCTTTCTACACGCCAAATTACAGCTCTGCGGTATCCTCAAGCTACTCTTGCAAGAGTTAAGTTTTTCCAGTTTTTTACCCATCTACGTGCACCTTGATCTGCCATGTTGCTTATTAGAGACTTTTGGCGTGGAAAATTTGTGTAGATACTTGGATATATACTTGAAGAAACTGCACAAGTCATGCTACGATTGCAGCAAATAAAATAAAGATTTATTCAGCCATGAAGCAAACATTTTCTATAGGCTGTTGGATAAAAAATATATTGATCTTCATGTTTCATGTATTATAATCAAATTAAAAGTAGCTCTAGACAATATTGTCACCTTCAATGCCTTCCATTTTCATGTATAAACAATTGTAGGGCTGTCTGAACTGATGAAAGATGCCTCTTTATCATTTGTTATTGACCTCCATATGAGATTATACTTGAGAATCAAGTGGTATGCCATGAATCTCTTCTTTCCCAATTATGCGCAAGATAAGACTTTGTCATATGATACATTAGGTTTAGAATCCGACGTACAAAAGATGAAATTTAAGATATAATTTATATTATATTTTAGTATATATTTTTAAATAATTTTTTTAAACTTAAAATTTATATTATTTTGTACTATTAATTTTATCCAATAAAATTAGTTACTTACTCTAATAACATAACATGTAGAGTTGCATGTGAAAAAGAGTTTTTAAAGATATATGAGTATAATATATAAAAATTCAAGTTCAAAAAGTTTTTATAAAATGTATTAGTGAATATTATAAATTAAATCTTTTAATTTTGTGTTCGATGTAGTTTTTCATCTAATTTAAATAAACCAACTTGCATGATTCTTAGTTCAAAGAAGAAGGTAACAAATCAAAAGAAATCACAAACAAATCCTCACTATGGAAGAAACGTAATGCTTGCCAAGAACCAAATTTTCTTTTCCAGGTCTTCTCCATTTTTTTTTTCTTAATAACGTGACCATGCAGTTTCTATCAAGCCCATTACCAAGCAATTTCCCAACAACAACAAACAGAAACCAAAAGCACTACGTACGGGATAATTTTCCTCACTATTTCCAGACAACTATTTCTCACTTTTCCAGACAATGACTCCATCATTTGAGTCTCAAACCCCCTACTTTTAATAATTTTGTCCCAAACTAATCGATATCTCTTTCATCAATTAGCTGTTATTGAAAGTTGAATGAATATGCCAATTCGAGCTGCTTTCCATGCACGTCCTCGTAAATTCTCATTAAATCCCCCCTCCATAAGAAGTGCCAGCATAAAGCTCCATAATGCCCTAAATGGAAGACGTTTTTTTTGTTTTTTTATTCTTATTTGACATTGAAGCTGTAAATTGGAGCATTTTTTTGGGAGGAAATAGCGAGCGTCTGTAAATTAGACAGAATCTTTTAGCTGTCGCTAATAACGAGTGGAGTGAATGAAGGGATGCTATCGTCTAATATTAAATGCATTTGGGACAAAAATAAAAAGAAAAATAACAGGGACATACATCTGAGGTTCCCCCATTAATTTTCCAACGACAGTTTATTCTTCTCCCCACACAGCAAACAAAAACCAGTCAAATTCTCTCTTTTAGGCATCATGCCCACAAATATTGAAAGCAACATTTTGTACATTTGACGAGGAAACCGGATAAAAGACCATGAACTAAAACCATGAAAGGCAGCACTGGTCAGCATGGTTATCAAAACAGAGAAAACTTAGCTTCTTTCACCTTTGTTGTAGTTGGGAATATTTAGGGTTAAATTTGTTAAAGTAATTCAAATTAACATAAAACAAATAGAGAGAAGAAGCTAGAATTCTCATTAATACTTCTAACAAATAAAACTATAAATTACAGAGGAGGTTTTGATAAAAAAAATAAAAATACAGAGGAGGGTAAAAAACGGAGACTTACTTACGTTCGGTGCTGGCGAGAGGTGCTGCTGGGGCTGGGCTTGTAGTTCCACGCTTAGTAAAGTACCTATGTAATTAAATTACAGAGGGGAACAAAAAAAAAGGGAGGGGAGGGAAGAAAACAGGGGAACGAAGAACAGGGGAGAGAAAAGGGAGTAAATTCACTTAAAAAAAATGAAAAAGAGAGAAGCACAAACCACAAGAACAGAAAAAAAGAAAGAGGAGAAGGCAGAAGAACAGCGGAAACTCCAGAACTACAAGCCAAGCCCCAGCAGCACCTCTCGCCAGCACCGAACGCAGGTAAGTCTCCTTTTTTACCATCTCCTCTGTAATTTAATTGCTGCTGTAGCAAGCGTGAGAGCCCGCGCACGCTTGCAGACTAACCAACCGGTTACTGGTCTAAACCAGTAACCGAGCCTGAGCCGGGGTAGCTAGGTCTAGCTCAGTCTATATGGCTGGGCTAGACACAGTTCAAACTAAAAAAATCAAGAAAGAGAGAGAAAAGAGATTGGGTTGGGTTTGGCCTCAGACATATAGTCAGTATAATCTATGTTTGTTAAGAGCATACATGATATAACATATTCTTATATCTTAACTATAATTTTTATGTTTTTTCTATTTTGGTATTTGATTAAATAAACTTATTTTAATGTAAAAAAAATTCCTAAAATATTTGTGTACATTCTTGAAGTTATTTATAGACCACTCATGCATTTGTTTTTATTTTTTGCTTGCATATTATTTATTTTTTGCTATATGCTAAATTTATATAGCATTCCTGTTAAATATAAATATGTTATGCAATGTTATTTTTTTTATTCTGGTCTAAAAAGAGGAAATAAAAAAGGTAAATAACAAGAGAAAGACATAATGTTTTTTTTTTGTTTCTTTTAAATTAAAAATTAAAATTCTTATGAACTTATTCACTAATACCAAAATTAGAAATATTACATCTTTTGGGTTTATACAATATTTACCAGCATTAAAGTTGAAAATATTTACAGGTAAATGTTCACTAACACTAAAGTTAGGAACATTATAGAAAAAAAAAACAACAAAAAAAAATACAAACTTTTAATAATTTAAGATAAAGCTAGTAATACAGCTTGCCTCTTATAGGACACTTAAATGGTGATAGTATCTTTTGTTTTGAGTAAACAATCTCGTATTATAAAATCTTTATTAACCAGTTAGAGTTCTTAATAATCATAATATTAGATGATGATTACTTGAACTAAAATAATTCCTCAAAGAATAAAATATCAGATATTCATTCTTTGTCCGATAATTAACAAGATTATCAAGTTTATTTTTAATTTATCATCACGATGTCCAGGTATGACAGAATAGTGACTCCACTATGGATAGAATAAAGAAGGCTAACATTCTTATTAATCTATTTATTTTAAACGCTTGAGTTAACCTAAATACAAAGCAATTATATATAAATATAATTTAAAATACTATTTCACTTTTAATAAATAAAACTAAATAAATGTATTATTTAACAAAATTTATAATAGTCATAGTGTACAGATTCTATGCCAAAACTTCTTTTCCTATTTTTCATTTCACCCACTAATAGAGAACCACCCTGAAGAAAGGAAATTCAGCACACAACACTCGCTTGCTGACACAGGCAACAGCATCCCCATGAAACAATGACATTGCTCGCCGATGCAGTAGGAACTTGGACAGGAAACAGCCGCTTCCCAAAGAGAACCATGACATGGCCACCGCTGCAGAAGAACAAAGGATGATAGATCCAACCTGGAGGAAATAATAATGAATCCCAACAATTCCAAATGAAATAAGAAGAGAGAATAGATTGCAAGGCAAGTTGCTGCTGTGGTTCCAAGGATGACAAAGTTGAAGCTGTGGTAGCAGATGGTAACATTTGCTGAATTTTTCTCCACAGATTAATCATTCGAATGACAGTTTGCTCTGTTGCCAACTCTTCGCCTGCACATATGACCTATAGCAACAATGTTGCAATGACTAGGAAAACTAAAACAGGAATTAAACAACAGCAATATTCAATTTCCAAATGCAAGAGATAGAAGCAAGCAGAGCACAGAAAGGGTATTGATTGTTTGGCCCTGAAAGTTCTCTATCAGACCTGTAACAAATGGCGTTTTGTTTTGAATATATTTGTGCACTAAAATACACGCAATCAAAGAAGTATTAAGGATGAGATAGAACAATAAATCAGGTAAAACATGCTTTAAAAATGTTAATCCATGTCCCACAGTTTACCTTTCTACCATTGAGCAAAGCTGCTCATGCACACCCTTAGCTTCAATCAAGTCACTTTTTGGAGGCAAGCAGCCTAACCAAGCTGGAACTATCTGCAAAACAGAGCGCATGTGCTACCAGAGAGGACAGATATCATAGAGGCGCACCAAGAAAATAAGTAGAGCCAATGAAATAATCAAAATACCTCGAAAGGCAATCAATACGAATACACAAAACAAAAAGGATATATGTACGTGAGCATTAATCATTCACATAAAAAAAGAAAATTTGCTTCTAAGATCAAAAATCCAATCTGCAACTCAAATCTAAACACTTCATAGCCTTTAGAATGCCGTACATGTGGAAGACTTAATATAGCAACCCAAGATTACATGCAGGACGCCAGAATGGCCCATGCAATTGTTCGCTCGCTCTTTTAGAAGTAGCAGAGAGATCATACCAATCATTCAAGAATATCCGTTCAGGGAGGACAGGTCCTCAGCTGAAAGCATTATGAACCACCTAGGCTCACGTAAGAGAAAGGATAAAATAAATACCCGTGCTGCATCTATGCTATCCCGATGAAACTCGCATATTTTTCCAAGAGCTCAAACAGCATTGTCATATGGCATTGTTGTAGAAAAACAATGGTGTCTGCAGGGGCGGAACTAGGGGGTGGCAAGCAGGGCCCGGCCTGCAAAACATTTTAAAATCTTTTATTATATAATATTTTTAATTTAAATAAATAAACTTTTTAATAATATATATATTATTATATTAATTTTGGCCTAGCCTGTAAAATTAACCTAACTCCCCCCCTTGAGTGTCTGCAAACTGAATTTTTCATTATATTCTTCTCCTTGTAGTAGAAAATATATTCGCAGATTTATGAATAGGTAACAATCCTATTATAAGGAAGTATAGTAATTTTCTACAAGATTTGATATAACTCCTCTAATTGATTAGATTCACGTAATTACTGCCTATACAAGATTTGATCTGAAAACACAATAATCAAATTACCAAAAAATATTTGATCTAGTTCTTACAAGTAATCAGATTATAAAATCGCAACTAATCATATCAACATTCCCCTTCAAGTTGGAGCATAAATATCAGTCATACTCAACTTGGTAATTACTCTTTGAAATGCTAGTTCTGAAACGGTCTTGGTAAAAATATCAGTTAACTGATATCCTGATTGAACAAAGGAAAATTGTATAAGTTTCATATCTAATTTTTCTTTGATGAAGCGACGATCAATTTTAATATGCTTCGTGCGATCATGTTGGACAGGATTATGCGCAATGGAAATGGAAGCCTTATTATCACAGTGTAAAGTCATCAGGTTCATATAATGAATCCCCAATTCTGTCAAGACCCTCTGAATCCATAATAATTCGAATACCACATAAGCCATATCTCGAAATTATATCTTTACACTTGATTTGGCCACAACTTTCTACTTCTTACTATGCCATGTAAGCAGATTTTCATTAGACAAAAATGAAATAGCCTGATGCAGATTTTCTAGTTGTTTAATCCCTTGCCCAATCAGCATCAATATATCCCATAATGCTATAGACCCTATATTTTAAGAATAACAGGCCTTTTCCTAGAGTGCCCTTCAAGTATCATAAAATTCTATTCACTACATGCAAATATTCTTCGTTGGGTGCATGCATAAATTGACTTGCGATACTGATAGCATAGGTTATGTCTAGTCTTTTATGTGATAAATAAATCAGTCAACTAACCAAACATTGATAGCGACCATGTCTATTGGAACCTAATTGGGAAAGACAACAAGCTTGTGATTGATGTCCATGAGGGTTGATACTGGTTTGTAAGCAAGCATGTTTGCTCTGTCAGCAAATCAAGCACATATTTGCCTTGTGACATAGAAATCCCGTGAACTAATTTGGCGACTTCAATTCCTAAAAAGTATCTGAGTTGCCCAAAGCTTTTCATTTCAAATGTAGCAGTTAAATGTTTCTATAATAGCATCATCTCCTCTAGATCATCGCCTGTTAATACCATGTTATCCATGTAAACAATGAGGGTTGTTACCTTCCTATTTTGGTGCTTTATAAACATAGTATGGTTTGAATTACTCTGTTTATAATTGAATGCGATGGGAATCACCTAAACCAAGCTCTAGGGGTTTGTTTTAGCCCATATAGAGATTTCTTCAACTGACAGACTTTGCTCCTATTTTTAGAATTGCACTGCACATTCGGTGATAAGTCCATATATACTTCTTCCTCTAAATCCCCATTAAGAAATGCATTTTTAACATCAAACTTTTTTGAAGGCCACTCCCGACTAATTGCTATAGATATAAGAATATGGATTGTGTCAAGCTTGGCAACTGGTACAAAAGTCTCTTGATATTCCATGCCATATTTTTATGTATATCCCTTTGCAACCAACCGGGCTTTATATCTATAAATGCTGCCATCGCTTTTAAGTTTCACAGTGAACATCCATTGACACTTGATTGTCTGTTTTTCCGTCAAGTAGGGAGACAAGTTCCCAAGTAGAGTTCTTTTGCAGAGCTTGCATTTCTCCAAGCTGGATCTGTCAAAGCTTCCTGCACATTACTAGGAATGGATATATTAGATAATTGATTAATAGTGAATGCATATGATTTAAACATCCTATGGTTAGAGACATAATTATTGATTGGATATTGGACATTGACTCTATGATTGAGTTCATACTGTTTCTTTGGGACACCCTTATTTGATCTTTGTGAACATCATGTGGCTACATTAGCAGGATGAACATCTTGGCATGAGAAATATCAGTTAATACATTGGACTCATCAAATTCAGGAGTACTTGGGATTCAACATTCTAAGAAGATTTGTTAGTTAATGGTGTTAACAAAGGCAACTCTATATTTATTAGTGACTCCTCATCAGTGCTTCTACCCTGTAAGTCCTCATCAGTGCTATTGCTCCCAAGTTGTTCAATTATTTTTTAGAGCTCAACAAATTTATTACTGCCTCTTTCTTGTAGCAAATGTTCATTGCTAGGTTGCTCCTCCTAAGAGAAAATGATGAAACCTTCTTCTGAATAAAATGGTTCAGTTTTATGAAAGGAGACATCTAAGGTTATGTGTAATTTTTTACTATGAGGATCATAACATTTGTACCCTTTCTAGAAGTTTGAATATCCAACAAAAACACATCAAGTGGCACATGAATCAAGTTTAGTTCACAACACCTTTGGAATGTGAACATACGCAGTATACCTAGACACTCTAGGCTCAAGATTTGGAAGTTGCGGGATGGATAATAAGGATTGCATCCGCTGTTAATATGTCTGAAATCTATCACTCGAGAAGGTGTTTGACATGACTAAAAGATTGATGTCTTCTCCCAGGTGAAGGAGTGTCGAAGTAATAAATAGCCCGGCAAGAC